AGCAAGGGAGGTTTAGGTTGGACATTAGGAAAAAGTTCCTAGCTGTCAGGGTGGTCAAACACTGGAATAAATTGCCCAGGGAGGTTGTGGAATCCCCATCTCTGGAGATATTTCAGAGTAGGTTAGATAAACGACTATCAGGGATGGTCTAGACAGTATTTGGTCCTGCCATGGGGGCAGGGGACTGGACTCGGTGATCTCTCGAGGTCCCTTCCAGTCCTAGCATTCTATGATTCTATGTACAGCTGGCAGAGGAAGGGGGCGTCGCCCGGCCTCAGTATTTCCTAGGAGCCACGTGTAACGGATTAGTCTCCGTCTGCTCCGGGTGTTTTCCCTGCCCCTGCCTCTCCCCTGGGCTGAACGTGGACAGAAGCAAGCACCCACCAGTTCCTTTGGCTGAAGGCAGGGATGCTGGTCAGGCTCTGGTCGCTGGCTGGGTAATACTGGGCGTAGGACGGCCGGGTGTAGGGGACGGAGGCTCGTTTCTCTTCCTCGTAGCTCTTCTTCGCGGCCTTCTTCTCTGCCTTGGTCAGCTTGTGCTCCTTCCGGTCGATCAGCAGCGACTCGTGCTGGAAAGGCTCCTGCAGTCACGACACAGGACACACTGAACGTACCACAAGAGGGCAGCAAAGCCAAATGCCACAAACCCGCCTGCATCGCCGCAGGCTGTGCGCAGTATTCCGCACACTGGCATCAGCCTTCCCGGGGGGCGCTTTTGGGAAAGGGAGGACCCGGGGGTACTTCTGTGCCCAAACTCCACAGGGAGCTCCCCACGGAGCACTCACACCCCGTGCGGCAGCTCAGGAGAGATTCAAATGCCACCCCGCTGATTAGTGCCCACAGCTCAGTGTGTGTTCCTACTGGTGGTGCACATCTGCATGTGCCTCAGTGCACATAGAATTATTCCGCACCTGGATGGAAAAGATTAGCGGGAACGTTGCTCACAACCCACACAATACACCACGCACGAATGGAGCAATTCTCTTACTTAGCTATTCCGCACCTGGATGGAAAAGATTAGCGGGAACGTTGCTCACAACCCACACAATACACCACGCACGAATGGCGTCCTACTGCGGGCTTCCCTTCCCACCCTGAGCCTCTATCGAGACAGACACGGCCCTTCCTTCCTCCTCACCTCAATCAGTCCTAGCCACACTTGTCCTTCCTACACTCTACCCAAGGCTGAAGAAATCTGCCCCTGAACCACAGGTCCCTGATTCCACACGGAAACCACCATTGTCCTGATCCCCGACACTGATCGCGGGCTGGTCTCAGAGAAACAAACAGCCCCTTGTAATCAATACTGTTTGGGGACACTCTTATCTCAACCCAGGTCGCAGAACACAGGCAGCCCCACCTTCTCCCTCAACGGTGAGGGCATCTGGCCGCAGCCTCGCGTGCCGTCGTTCTTACCTTGGTGATAAGGTGAGGGTACTTGAGACAGGCCAGCTGTAAGACAGACTCCTTCATCTTGACAGGGTCCAAAGCCAGCTGGGCAGGATTTGACTCCTCTTCTACGAAGTGCAGTAGGTTCTCCACCTCCCTCCGGGTGAAGTTCAACACTGGATTCAGATCATCCACAACCCGATCTGGAGAACGGGGGGAGAAGGCAGTGTTCAGAGAAGGGGGACAGGTCACCGCTCCCTGCTGGACTCGCCTCCTTCCCTCCTCTCCACTTCCCAGCACTGAATCTGTGCTTGCCACAGCCGAAAACATCTGTGGGGGGAGGGGATCGGGGACGCTTTGCTCTCCACATCTCCCACCAACTGGGTGTGGGCCATGAACTCCCTGGGAAACACGGGCTCTGTACGTACCATATGGTGATGAAATTCCCCTGCGTTAAGAGCCCAGGACATGGATGCCAGAGCGCCCACAGCGGCAGGGCACTGAGCTGCCCTGGAGTTAAATTCTCACCTGGCTCTTTTGGGTCACCTCCCACTTGTGCATCTCCCAACCCCACCACAAAACCTGGCACAAGCTAGCTCCCCGGCAGTTTTTGCGCCCGAGGGCCAGGGCTGAAACAATCCCAGCACGCAGGTCGCCGCAAGGACGCATACGTGCTTGCTCAGAGGTAGGCCTGGGGAACCGAGTCGTGGAGCACTGCGGCAACTCGCCCAGTCTAAACCGAGGCAGAGCAGACAGAAGTTAAACCCTGATCTCCCCGCCTCCGGCTGTCCCCAACACCCCCACCAGCCTCTCTGCTCTTGCACAAGGCTCCACAGCCTGGATGTAGGTGTGCAGGCACTCAGCGGCGGAAGGCATGAACCAGGCACATCAAGCACCATGCTGGCTCAAACCAAGGCTGCTTAACCCTTCGCTTTTACAAGCTCTGGGCTCACTTCAAACTATAAAAACATCACAACTGCCCAGGCTGAATGCCTCTGTAGCATCCCTTCTTCTAGCAGCAGTTTGTTGCCAACCTTAGACAAAAGGAAGCGTCTCCAAAGTCATGCTGACGCCGTTCACGGGCTAGAGAGCACAAGGGAAGAAAGCAAGATGACGTATTGGCACAAGAGTTCAGGCTCTACCTGACATCCCCTGCTTGGAGACTTGGCGGTCATAGATCTTCTTCTCCAAGGTGTAATCCGAAACCAGCCGGTAAATGTGGCACGGCTTCTTCTGCCCATAGCGGTACACCCGGCACACCGCCTGTGCATCGTGGCATGGGTTCCAAGAGGCGTCGAACACCACAACTCTGTTGGCTCCAATCAGGTTGACACCCAAACAGCCAGCTCTTAAAGAAAACACAAACCACGTTTCGAAACCACCGTTCTTCCCAGTCTTTCTACTCCAAGGAGTTCTGGTCCTAAGCATCCAGGCAGAGCAAGTGCAAAGAATTCTTTGGTCTGAAACGCTCCTGTTTCCATCCCACCAATGAAAGACTCCTTCAGCCCATCCTTCCATTCCAGGCTGCTGACAACTCACCGGGTGGACAGAAGGAAGAGCCACACAGAGCCGTTACTGGGGTCATTGAACTGGTTAATCAATCGCTCACGTTCCGAGGCAGAAGTGCTGCCATCCAGCCCTGGCGAGAGAATCAGAGAGGTGTTTAAAAACCCTTTGCACTGGGAGAACCATCAAAACCCAACGATCCCGTCGGGTTGGCAGAGAACCTGCACCATGAAAATGCCGTCACCCCGCAGACACCAAGCGACCAAACTCAGACAGAGCTTCCCAGCCATTCCAGGCAACACATCCACACACAACAAGCTGTCCCGGCCAGCGCCCACTTCTCCCCAGTCAAACACACACCGCACCGTCGGCCAAGGACGCGGCCAGCTGCAGTAGTGAATGAGTGCAAACCAGGAGTCTGGCATAAGCCAGATTCTACAGCAGGTACAGGGCTTACAGCTGAACCGGAAACGTACAGTTATAGGGCACTGGGATCTAGCCCAGGGGCTCAGCTCTCCGGTAGGAAGTCTGTAGTACCGGTCACAAATGCCTGAAATACCAGCATTGGTAACAGGCACCAGTACAGTACGACCACCTAACACAAGCTGCTGGCAAATGCCCCCGACCCAACCTGAGTATATGCGGAGGAATCAGACAAGACGATGCAGTACGTGTGATCGGGGCACAGCTCATTCACAAGGAAGAGAGCTGGAGTCAGGAGAGGGGCTAAAGCCATTTACACACACTTGTGTGATCGGGGCACAGCTCATTCACAAGGAAGAAAGCTGGAGTCAGGAGAGGGGCTAGAGCCATTTACACACACACAGCATGCCTGCCAGGAGCTCTCAGGGACACCCGTCCAGCCAGCTGGCCTAACACTCCTGCCCTGGCACAGGAATTGGCTACTGAAGGGAACAAAGACTAGAGCAGGAGGAAAACTCACAAGCACTGAACAAGGCTCCAGAGGCGTAAGAGTTAAGTGTCCAAGCGGTGCAAGTAAAGAAGGTTTTATTAAAGAAGTGATAGTTAAGCGGCTCACAGAGTCAGAGAAAAGACTGGGAAATGATTGGTCCATCCTGGGGAACATTAAACACACACCCGAGCACACCCAGGCCAGCTCACACGAGACGGAGGGAAGACAAAGGCACAGGTGAGCATGGCGAGAAGCCGGAGGGAACCGCAGCATGCCAGGAGCTAGCTCAGCTGCAGAGGGCGAAGCGGGCCCAGAGGAAGTGAGGAGGTCGGTCTGTACTCACTGTAATAATGGAGATTTCGGACCCAGTTATGAACGCCTTGCGCATCTGAGCCCGGACGACTGGGCATTGGTCTCTTGGCCAAGAACTCCTCAATGACAGACAGCGTGGACAGACTCTGGCTGCAAAAATCAAGGGTGCTGCTCAGGAAAGCCCCTAGCAGTGTAACTAGAAGTGCAGAACTTGTCCCCCCCCTTGCTAGCACTCAGAGAGTGATTCAAGGGGGCACCCCCTTGCCACTGACACCTCTGGGGAGAAAAAGGCTACAAAAATCAATGGACAGCAGAACAATGGGAACGACCAACCAACACTGCACAGCGACAGGCAGCTGTCATGGGGGATCACCGTCGGTCTCATCCTCCCCCGTCTAACCACCAAACGCAGCCCCGCCCTGGCCCGAGGAGCAGCCATCGAGACTTCCTCTTACCTGAAGACCAGGATCTTGTCTCCCTGCTGCACGCTTTCCTCGATCAGGTGGAAGAGTAGCACCATCTTGGGCGAGTTCTCCAGAACACCCGTCTGGTAATCGCACAGGATGTCCTTGGCCTACCCAGAGACCAGAGACTCGGTTACAGGGGCAGGTACCCAGGCATAACAACATGTGCTTTCCAAAATGCAATAAGCCCAAGGTAGCCCTAAGGAGTCACGTCTCCACAAACCCCTCCAAGTTCCAGACACCCCCAGCCACTTGTTGAGAATAACCGGCCATCAGCCTGTCATTTAAGTCGGGGGACTGTTCGCTCGACAGTCACAACTGCTGGGGTGACTAACAAGCAACAGCTTTCCCCCAAGTACCCTTGTAGGCCCACCAAGTCAAGGACTCACATCTGGAAGTGTGCAGGAAACCAGTCCAGCGGCTGGAGAGCTAGTATAAAAGGTGAAGCTGGCTGATGCATTCTGCCCACTGCAGCTTCCAAGGCAGCCCCTTACGGAGCACGTTACAACTCTGTCTCAAGGTGACAAGAATCATTTAGTGCAGCACAGTCCGGAAGTGAGACACGTCCAGGCGGGCCCAGAGAGAAGGGATGGTTTTGACCACTGCTGACTCCCGACAGAGGATCCAGGGTGTTTCAAACTCCAGATTTCTTGGGCAATAGGTAGACAAAGACTCTTCAGTCCAGGAACAGGAATCACTTCCATGGGGGGAGGGATAGCTCAGTGGTTTGTGTATTTGCCTGCTAAGCCCAAGGTTGTGAGTTCAATCCCTGTGGAGGCCATTTAGGGATTTGTGGCAAAAGTTTGTAAGGGATGGTACTTGGTCCTGCTGTGAAGGCAGGGGACTGGACTTGATGACCTTCAAGGTCCCTTCCAGTACTAGGAGAATTAATTTATTCTGCCATAGCCTCAAGATGCCCACTAGCATCAGCACTGCCTTATTCCACGCACGCTTCTGCCATCTCACCCCCGTGCAAGTCCTGACCACAGCCATGCTGGTGAGAAGACAGACACTGCTCCATCCGGGCCTGATCCAAGCCAGGAGTAAAGTACAGCACCAGCTTTACCGGAGCCTCATAATTCCCACGAGCAGCCTTTTACACACACTGACCAAGACAAAGCTTCAGAGCAGAGATCCCTCGTAACAGGTGAGAAAGCACCAGAACTAGAAGCAAGATCCCAGCTACACAGGGTTTTTTATGCCAATTCTCAAATCGACACACAGTGCACTGCCCCCAACAACAGGGTCCAAAGAAAGCTCTGGGCTAGAAGTCTCATGGCGCTGGTACTCACCCACTCGTATGTCACGACTTGATTTGCTCTCTCCTGAAAGGGGTTGAAGCCAATGCCCTGAATGAACTTGCTGTTGGTAGCTTCTCCCATGGGTGAGGCCAAAGCACCACTCTCTGTTTTGACTTTCATTCCCGGCGGCTGACAGCGAGAGTTTGTTCCAGCTGTGCCCAGGTCGTCCACATCCAGGTCCTGCTCATTCGCCAGATTCTCTTTCTGCAGCGCCTCATACAGCACATCTGGGTGGTTCCAGATCTTCGAGGTGAGGAAAAGGGAAAAGGTGTCACCGCATTAGCACAAACCCACCCGAGGAGCTTGGGAACAAGGAACATCTCTCGCACAGGCATATGCTAATTCCCGGCAGGGATATCGTTAATCCAATGACTCCCCTCCAAATTCATTTGAAAGAGCCACAAATTAAACTAGTCTCTCAGCATTAGAATGTTTAATGCCAGGGACTCTGGCTGCATATTTTCAAGTCCCCTGTAGTAGATCAGCATGGAAACTTTGCCTGCTACAAAAGTTAGGAGGATTCCAGTCAACAAGCAAAAATGAAACTGTGATTCTGTCTTAGCACAAGGTACAAACTGTTCCGATCAAGACATGTTACCAGGTTTAATGATCTAAAGCTCCTCTGTCTGGTGACTGATGAATGAAGACCCACAAACACACACACACATATGCATATGTGAAGAATGCTGTTTGCACTCTGAGAAATGAAGGATTTTCTTGCAGTTAAAGGCTGGGCCTTGGATCATCCTAGTGCAGTTCCTGGCTCTGGCACAGGCTTCTTTACAAATCTGGGCAGGTCAATTTAACTGTTTATGACTCAGTTTCCCATCTTTAACATGGGAATAGTGATACCCCGAGGACACTAGATTACACCATGCACAGGAACATGCACACTACTGCTTAAGATGCGCTCAGGTATCTTGTCTGTATCTACATCCCACCTCTTGCCAACACGATGTCAGACCCCTGCCCTTTCCCTGTTTGCTGCAGGAAGAGTGACCCTCTTGCCAAAACCTACCTTACAACAGACGCAGAAAGCCTTAAGCGGGTTCAGCCCCAGCCAGCCACTGTTGCCTGCATCCCGGAACCGGTTCATGAACTCTGTGTAAAGAGCCCGCTGGATTTTGGATAGGCGCACCAGGATAACATGCTCTTCTTTGTAGGGAAGCTGAGCCTTGAGTACATTATGGCCTCGCCTGCAGAGGCAATCAGGAAACGACGAGAGAAAGATTGTTCAGGGTTAGTGTCTCTGTAGAGCCCTGCAAATACACAGATATCCGCGCCATAGCCGCAGGCGGATGCTGATAGGCACGCCATAGCCGGGATGCGGATAGGCCGCAGCTCATTTTTGCAGACAGGGACGTGGATGGGGATGCAAATTTTGTATCTAGAACCGTGCAGATTTGCAGATACCTACTGATATAAAGCGGGTATCTGCAGTCACAGACGTCAGTGTGGATATCCACAGCTCATTTTTGCAGATACAAATTTTGTATCCGCACAGGGCTCTAGCCATCAGGGTAAGATTTTGGATGATGGCAAAGAGAAGGCACTCCAGTCACGAGAGTTTCTAATGTAGGACACATTACAACTGAAGCCAAATAAGTACAGTAAACTCTTAGCAAACAGCAAATGTTAGAACACCCCAGGACAATGGTAAGATGCATTGCTGAAGGTGTAGCTAACCATGGTGCTAAATCAGGATGGACAAATTTGCAACTGAAATGCTGCACTAGAAATTAAGACGTCAGGTGTCTATTTCTGTCTTTGGCAAGGGATCCTACAGGCCACATCACTTGCCCTTTCTGTGCCTCTGGGTCCTCATCTGTAAAATGGGGAGGATTTCTGCCTCCCCTCTCCTGTAAGGGTACCCCAGGCTGTAAAATGCTTTCAGCTCCTTGGATGGAGCTGTAACGAATACACTGTAACAGACACACTGCTCAATCCACGTGGCTAACTGTGACGAAGGAGCTGGCGGTGCGGACCACATTGCGGCACCCTTGACGGGGACTCACCTCTGAACAAAGCCCTCCAGCAGACTATGCAGGACGTGGCTGCGGTACCTCATGAGACGGACATCCTGAGGCGTGCTGTCAATACACTGGCCATTCAGGATGGGGCGCTCGAACATGTTGCTGAACTCCTGCCGGGTGCCCAGGAAGTCAGGCCGAACAAAGTCTACCATGCACCAGTACTCAATGAGGTTGTTCTGGAGCGGGTAGCCCGTCAGCACCACCCGCCGCCTGGAGCGGATGTTCTTCAGGGCCTGGGATGTGCTGGCATGGCAGTTCTTAATCCGGTGTCCCTCATCACAGATAACTACATCCGGGCCAGGGCGGGATAAAGCCTTCTCGATCCCTGCAGGAAAGGAACACGGAGTTACATGGTCAGCTGGTGGCCCTGCTTCACAGGGCAGCTTGCTCAACAGAACAAAAAATGAGCAATTACGAAAGTCGAAACCAAGCTCTGGTTTGCAGTGTCGCGTCGGTTCCTGGATACGAGAGAGACAAGGTGGGAGTGGTAATATCTTGTACTGGGCAAACTTCTACTGGGCAGAGAGATGACCGTGGGAGCTTACACCCAGCTCTTCTGCAGGAGACTAGAGATCAGGACAGAGACCTGAAGGAGAGCTCTGTGGTGGCTCGAAAGCATGTCTCTCTCACCCACAGGAGCTGGTCCAATAAAAGATAGGACCTCCCCGCATCTTGGCTCTCTAACTTTTGCCCAGAAACCAAGATGGCTCTAGCAATTGGAAACCGGCTCTTGAGCCACCAGCTCCAATCTGGCCTGGGTTGGTAGAGACCCGAGTCATCTGAGGTTCATTTCATGGGAGTTGGGAGTCTGCCTAGTCCCTAGTGGTCCTTTCACTAGCTCAGCACACAGGTTGCCTCCTTTATTTGCGGCCTCAGCAGGGAGCTCGAGGACTGAGTGAATACCGACACCTTTCTAATTCCAAGACCAATCTTCCAGAACAGGGTTGTTTCACAGCAGCGATGCTGATAGGTGGGGACCATTCTGCACCTGCTCTGCGTAAAAACTGGAGGACTTCAGCTGGTAGCCAAGTCTCTCCTGCACCTTTTGCTAGCCCGACATTCATTTAGAATCTGCACACATGTAAGCTGACAGCAAATCCAGTCCTGGGGTTAATGGTAACCACCTCTGACATCGGTGCGTATGTGCAAAGCAGCTGTTCTCAGCTGCCCAGTCACCATTTGCTCATTGAGCCAGCTGGCATTAGTAGAGTCTCCCGGCTGCAAGACAGGCAAGTATTTCCCAGGAAGTCTCCCCGCCCACCTTTCAGAAGCTCCTGCTGCCGGTCCTCCTCATCCAAGTCGATAATGACAGGGCCAGCTTGTTTCTTTGTTTTCTTTTTCCTGCCACTGGCAAAGGACTTCTTCAGCGAGAGGAGACGGTACATCTCATAGCCCATCAGCAGCACCCCACCGTCTGTCACCCAGTCAGTCACCACTTTCGCTCGGGCAGCCGTCGTCCTAGACAAACAAATGCACAAGCCATGAGACCTCTTCCTTGGGCACACAGGGACCTGCGGAAAGGGTTCCTGCTAAGGGACAGGGCCTGCTCTCCAACTCAAAAGGCTTGCTGGCATGAGCTCAGACCAGCGGACACGTGCACTGACCCCTTTCCCATGAAGCTCTGGGAGAGGATTCCAGCGTACGGAGGGCAATGTGGCCGAGAAAGGGGAACCCTTAGAGGTCAGGAGGTGCTGAGTGAAGTTTGCTGTGTTGAACCCTAAATCATATTTCACAGGACAATGGACTCCTCTTCTGTGAAGTGTTAGGGACGAGACCTCTCCAAAGGGCGCTGGTGTGTGTGGCTGTCCTACTCGCCCACTGACAGCACATACCTAGCCAGCAATCCGAGAGGTAGCAGAATTATTTCCTTTCCCTCCCAGCAGCATGAAGGACAAGCTCAGATCAGAGGCTGGCCGCCTCCAGCTTTCCCACACACCAGAGCACTGTAACCCCCATTCAATATAAGATACACCCAAGAGGCTCCAACGAAAGTCAAATGAATAGGACGGATGGTCCTCTCACGAGGGGAGGGCTTCAGGGAGCAAGCGTGTTCGAGTGCCCGGAGAGTGATATAAATTCCACCAGACGGTGTGCAACAAAAGGACTGTGCAGCGCTGCAGCTGCCAAGAATACACTCTGCATACAGTGTCAAGGACTGCACTCTGCCTAGGGATGCTAACTCGTCTAGAAACCCGCAGGCACAGCAAAACTGCGTAAAAGTTCAAAGGAGGAATCAGAGAGGAACGTGACAATTCCCAGAAAAGCCAACACTAAGTGTGCAATCACGCATAAGGGCCGAGGAATCACGTGACTTCCTAAGCAAGCAATCGTGCATAACGGCCGAGGAATCATATGACTGGCTTCTAAAGGGTGGAGGAAGCAATGCAGGCCCCACACTGACCAATGCGCACCCAGCATCAGATCGGGAGTTTGAGGAGTTTTCCCATATGGTGGTAAGTTGATAACCTTGAACATAGGAATGGCCATACGGGGTCAGACCAAAGGTCCATCCGGCCCTTTGGCCACAGTGGCCAATGCCAGGTGCCCCAGAAGGAGTGAATCAAACAGGTAATGATCCAGCAATCTCTCCCTGCCATCCATCTCCATTCTCTGACAAACAGAGTCTGGGGACACCATTCCTTACCCATCCTGGCTAATAGTCATTGATGGACTTAACCTCCATGAATTTATCTAGTTCTCCTTTACACCCTGTTATAGTCCTAGCCTTCACAGCCTCCTCAGGCAAGGAGTTCCACAGATTGACTATGCACTGTGTGAAGAAGAACTTCCTTTTATTTGTTTTAAACCTGCTGCCCATTAATTTCATTTGGTGGCCCCTAGTTCTTATATTACGGGAACAAGTAAAATAACTTTTCCTTATTCACTTTCTCCACACCACTCATGATTTTATATACTTCTATCATATCCCCCCTCAGTCTCCTCTTTTCCAAGCTGAAAAGTCCCAGTCTCTTTAATCTCTCCTCATATGGGACCCGTTCCAAACCCCTCATCATTTTAGTTGTCCTTCTCTGAACCTTTTCTAATGCCAGTATATCTTTTTTGAGACGAGGAGACCACATCTGTACGGAGTATTCCAGATGTAGGTGTACCATAGATTTATATAAGGGCAATAAGATATTCTCCGTCTTATTCTCTATCCCTTTTTTAATGATTCCTAACATCCTGTTTGCTTTTTTGAGTGCCGCTGCACCCTGCATGGGCGTCTTCAGAGAACTATCCATGATGACTCGAAGATCTCTTTCCTGATTAGCTGCAGCTAAATTAGCCCCCATCATATTATATGTGTAGTTGGGGTTATTTTTCCCAATGTACGTTACTTTACATTTATCCACATTAAATTTCGTTTGCCATTTTGTTGCCCAATCACTTAGTTTGGGGAGATCTTTTTGAAGCTCTTCACAGTCTGCTTTGGTCTTAACTACCTTGGCAGAGAAGGGCATAAAAAAGGGGTAAGAGAAATCTAACCCCTCACAAAAAGATGCACATTTTCCATGTACTGAAATCCTCCCACAAGGGCATATTCTGCATCTGTGCAGAGGGAGAGAAAGTAAAAGGGCAGAGCATGGAATGAGATCAGCTGATCAGCCTGCGGACGTGCGACAGACATGCGGATCCTACAGCTGCCCGAGAAGCAGACTAGTTGCTCCGAGGGGGAACCCATGGCACCTACTTGTGTTCATCATTCAGGATATGGACTTTGAAGAAGCGTGCCAGCAGGAAGCTTTGGGGGCGGGGGGAGCCACATGTTGAATTCTGCTAGCCAGTTCTGGAGCGTGTTCACCTGTGAGGGGAAAAAATGCACCCCAAGGACTGAGTATGTATTCTTCAGATATCCAAATTCAGTCCCTAGCACTGAGAATGCAAAGCTAAACAGGCCGTGGAATCACATGCAGCTGGCCGCAGCTAGAATGAACCATGATGCACCATCTCAAAGAGGGGAGGAACGAAAGCAGGCGAATGGCAGCGAGGTTATGGGAGGGCTTTTGCTAGAGTACAAGGTACCAATCCTCCCCGCCCCCATAGCTGCAAAAAAAAAAAAAGACAGCCACACTGGTGGGCCTGACAGCTTCATACAAGCTACTCACAGGGACAATGGCAAGGACAGTCTTTGCCTCTGTGTGCCGGAAAAGCACGTCCAAGAAAGAGATGACCTGGATGGTCTTGCCCAGCCCCATGCTATGGGCCAAGATGCACCCAAACCCGCTGCTGCTTTTAAACCTCTCCAGGGACTCCACCAGGTTATCGTACAGGAAGCGGATTCCGCCGATCTAGAGAAAACAGTGGAAGAGTTGCCAAAGAAGTGGTGGAAAACAACAAAACGGGGAAGACATCGACACTGCAAGAGTTTATAAGGTATATGGGGAAATGAGAGATCTATTGCGGTCTTTTCAGCCACAAGGACTTAATTAATTTGTTAAAATATTGCTCATCCAAGCAAGAGGCGGAGGAAAAAATCTCTATCAATATCATGCCAACTGTCGTCATGCCTAGTTTGCAAAACTTTCCAGGATATCGTTCGGGAATCTCACCATTCTATACACTTGACACTTGAAGGGATGTGATTCAGGCAGCGCAGTTATACACACGACAATATTCTTCTCTCTACGTATTCTGACATGGCAACAGCACAGGCTCGAAGACTGACGTGCCAGGATCTGCTCATCATGTAACAACAGCCAACGACCTATGAAGCTAGGGGCCTCGTTTAATGTCTCTCCCCCATTTAACTCTGCAGCAGCCACTGCCACTAAGCCTGACCACAATCTTCAGGGCGGTAGCTCTGCCAATATCATCGCTATGACAAACCACCAGCCCCCGTGAGGCCCCAGCGTGGATTCCAGCTCCTGGGACAAGGGAGGGGTATTACTACAGCCCCTGCATGTTCTGGCCCCAGAACTCCTGTACCTGGTGAGGCTTCACTGCCCGAGCAAGCTGCGGAGCCAGGAAAATGTCTTCTTCATTTGGTGGATGGTTGATGTTGACAATGACCTGCCCCAGAGGATCCAGCTGATTTAAGGCGTCATTCACATGAGAGCCGCTGCTCTCTTCCGTGCCATCGTCCTCCCCCTCGTTGGCAGAGTCGCTGCTCTCCACAATCTGGAGGGCCTCATCCTCTCCTGAACTCAGTTCGATCACTTCTGTCAAACAGCCAGAGGTGGAAGGGGTGTCAGCTGTCCGCCAGGCTTGCAAACAGGAGTCCCCTTCTCAACACAGGACTCAAAAACCCATTGCAAATGCAGAGTTGAATATTCAGATACAGTTGGTAGTCAGTGCTTGGCGAGGGCGGCTTCGCCTCACGTGGGAAAGGTTAAGTAAGGGCAATTTGGGAGTGGGATTACTGGAATTGGCACAGCAATTTTATACAGACTGCCTTTAGATGCGTACAATCTGGAGACAGACATGGCTTTGTGGATAAATGGGACCATTTGGGAGAGACACAGGGAGGTGAGAGAAGTTGGCTGTGAGCCTTACCATCTTTAATGCCATGCAGTATTCCTTTTGCGTCATCTTCACTGCCACTGCTGGTGCTATCCAAGCAGATCACTTCCTCAGCTAGGACCTGAGGAGGAAGCTGAGTGGCATCCGCTGTTCTTAAAACTATTTCCTCTACACAAAAACAGTAAACAAGAATAAAAAACACTA